TATATGACCGAAGTAAAACTGGCTATGCCGAGCCACAAAGTAGGCCGTACTAACAGTAGTTTGGTTCTTCTTTATGCTACACCATATCTCGGTTCTCTCATACACGAACCGTGGTGTGTTCGGACCGATCTACTGAATAGCAACATTCCAACCGACCTACCCCGAATTCATAATGACCGGACTACCTTCTGAGACCGGACTAACTCAGATTGTCCAAACCGAGGCAGCTTTTCAATTCCTTAGCCGAAGCAACTTCATCTTTTCTTTTTGACCGAAGTAAGTCACCATCTCCTCAGAGCCGGAGTAAATCTATTGTCTACGAACCGGAGTAACTTTAACAGCTTGGGCCGGAGTGACCTCTCTTGGGCCGTAGTAACACTTCAGCCTTTTTACCCAGTCCTTGGCATTTTGGGCCACAAAGTACATTTCACAGCTCGGCCCAATTTTTACCAAAAAATACCCTCTCAAGCACAAAACCATAACAAATTCTGTTAGAGAGAGAGAGAGAGAGAGAGAGAGGAAAAACCATGGAAAACACTGAGAAAGAAATTACAAGTGACGAGCCTAAGTACCGAGGACTTAAAGCCATGCCCTTTGTTATAGGTAATTTACAAAGTAGAGATGCACATGCATTTCAGGCACACAAGCAATCACATGCATGGTTCTTTATTCCAAATTTATCAGTCTCCTTCTTTCAAAATATTCACAGTTTATTCTCTCTTGAGATTCTCTCATAATTACATAAAGTATTTTATGAGCAAAAAATAAAAATAAATATTAGAGACAAAAGATGTCTGGCCTACCACATGCATGTGTACTTGCGACTTGCACACGCACTTAGGAGGAGAGGAGCTCCTCCTTTCACCCGGGATCCTTTGTATTCATTTTCTCTGCCTTTTTGTTCCAAAACATATTTATCGAGCATAATAATTTCCTTTACGCTGTGTTTGGTGGGAGATTTGGAAAGAGATTTAAAAAAAAAAATGTGTGTAAAATTAAATAATATATAAGTATGTTTTATTCACATTTCAACTTGACTTAAAGTGTAAGATATTGATTATCACATTAAAATTAAAAGGATTAAAGTGAGATTATAATTAAAGTACAAAGGTAATAACTGTAATTAACTTGTATTTTTATTACTAGATTGTGATATGTTGTATAAATGTATATGTCCCTGAATGGGAAGGGATGATTCTCACTAGGGTTTAACTTGTATTTTTATTACTAGATTGTGATTTGTATAAATGTATATGTCCCTGAATGGGAAGGGATGATTCCCACTAGGGTTTGTTTGGGATGTAGGTTGGCTTTTTAATTTTTTGATTATTTTAGTTTGGGGTTAAAAAGTCTCGTTTGAAATAGATTTTTTTGGTTTTTTTGACTTTTGTGAAAGAAAAAATGATGATTATGATTTGAATGTGATATTTTGTCTTATTGGACTAAAAATTATATTTTATCTTTTTGTGACTGAAATAGCTAAAAAGCCAAAAAAACATGACATGGTAAACGAAGGCTACAGTATCATTGTGTAAAAGTGTTTTTTGTATTCAAGTATTTGAATGGTTAACATTTTTCATCGACAAATTCCACCAACATAAGACTACCCAAGGGAAGAAATTCTGTCAAAAATAAATTAAAATAAATCAAACAAGGGAGAAAACCAGCAGCATCTATGTGGTAGAATAACAACAACAATGACAAACAGATTCACACAGAGAGCGAAAATTAAGACGTGGCGATATAAGAATTCAACAAATTTTGAATGGAAAATAATATAATCACTTCGTTTGGAAAAAATTTATTTTTTAATTTTTTTAATTATTTTAGTAGATTATTTTAGTTTTTGTGTTTGAAAAGATAGGTTAAATTTTTTATTAGATTAGTGTATTGAAAAATGTATTTGAAATGATGTGGAGGTAGTAAATGACCAAAATGCCCCTTTACAAATGTACTGGTCCTTCAAGCCAAAAAAAAAAACAAACTAATGTGGTGGGGGTCTCAAAAATTAAAAGGACAAAAGCGTCATTTTATCTTCTGTCCATTACAATTGTGCATCATGTGAGAAGTCCTCAGCAATAATACTTCTTTTTGGATTTTTTTTCTGAAAAGGGTAAAATACACTACAAGAATTAACACTTTTGGCAACAAAAAAATTGGTCGCTAAAAGTCAATTTTTGGTCGGCAAAAGTTATCCGCGATCAATTTTTTTGGTCGCTACTTTGGTCGCCAATTGAGGGTCGACAAAAGTAATTCGCGACCAAAATTGTGGTTGGTCGGCAAAAGTTGGATTTCGCGACTAAATTTTTGGTCGCTAAATATTTAATTACCGTGACTAATTTATTTTGTCGGCAAAACACTTTGGTCGCGAAAAGTGATATTTTCCCGACCATAAAATTTGGTCGCCAATTATCACATTCAACGACCAAAAAGTTTGGTCGCCAATTGTGACATTTCGCGACCAGAAATTTTGTTCGCCAATCATGACATTCCGCGACCAAAAAATTTTGGTCGCCAATTGTGACATTCCGCGACCAAAAATTTTGGTCGTCAATTGTGACATTCCATGACCAAAAAAGATTTTGGTCGCCATTTGTTACTTTCCGCGACCAAAACTTTTGGTCGGCAAAAGTGAGTTTCCACGACCAAGAGCTGTTTTGGTCGGCAATAGATGTATTTTTTGCGACCAAAACTCTTGGTCGGAAATTGTCATTTTTTGCGAAAAAAAATAATTTATTTGTCGCGACTAATAAATTGGCCGCCAAAGCAGGAAAACAATACACTTGTAATTCCTAATAATTCATTCAATCCATAATAAACCTATAATTTTAAAGCATCATTCAAATTAACTGAATCATTAACATTCGACACAATACATAATTCATTAACATTCGACACAATACAACTATTCTAAGTTTGCATTCACAAGTCACATCCATCTAGCATAACAAATCGAAACATAACTATTTGTTATCCATGCGCAGCTATCAACAAATAAAACTACTAATATTTGTTATCCATACACATCCATCCAAAAATATTTAATCCTTCAACAACACAGCTTAATCCACTAAGTTGCCTTGATAGCCAATCAAAAAGATCCTTGCGCCCTTCCGTGCCAAGCTTCGCATCCATCAAAGCAGTAGTGATGTCAGGCACCTAATAAAGAAACATAATTGGAAAATTTATCAGAGAAGCATGATAAATATATAAAATTATTTACAAAATATGACAGTATACCCTGCAAGAAACAACTACCCAATATTAAAGTCAAATTTAAAGGACATAGAATACAAAGTTAGAAGGAAATTTAGGTTTCGAGCAAACAACCTTGCTAGACTTCTCAACTGCAAGTCCCATTGCAGATGCAACAGCCGCTGCTGGAAATTGAAGTTTTAGAGGTGTTTAAAAAACGCCGCTATAGGTCTTAAAAACGCCGTTAAATCCTTTTGTGACGTTTAGCACCAAACGCCGAAGATGCGGCCGTCACTATAACTCTATGACGTTTTAGAAACGTCGCTGTATGACTATAGGCAACGTTTTTAAAACGCCGCTAAAGGTTCTAGTCAAGGTCACATGACGTCACCATGCTGTTTAGTGACGTTTTTAAAACGCCGTCGTATCTCCTTTTCCCAAAAAAACTGACCGTTGGGATGCTATTTAGCGACGTTTTTAGAAATGCCGTAATAGCCCTCTTCTTTTTTTTTAATTTATGCTAATTTTATGTCAAATGCCTGTAATTTCAGTAGCAGACAAACTTTTAAATATAGAAATACAAAAAATTATTAAAAAATGTACAGCCATGGTACATAATTACAAAATATTGAAGCCAAAAAAAATCATCATCCCATCAAATAACCAATTAAGGAAAACAGAGAATTATAAAGGAAAAATCACCATCCAAAATAAATAAAATATCTCAGGTGCCAGTATGAGGAGTCACAGAAGTAGGCATATGAAGGAAAATATGTACAGCAATACTTGAAAAGAGAAATATAGCATGTAATGTTAAACATGATAATTCCATTTCCTGGGGAGAGATTGGGAAGGAAACTGTGAGTAATGTGGCCTCCTAGAAAATAAAAATGAAAAGGGGTTGAAAATTACATTCAGTGGAGTAGTCAAGCCTCTTTAAATATGCATATGTGAACAGTTGGTTAAGGTTTGGCAACTAAAAGGAATCAGTAAAAAATCATATTAATATATAAATGCCAACTTTGGGCACAAATCATCAACCCAATGGAAAGGATATATAACAATCTCCTTTTCATAGGTATACTTAAATGGCTTGCATCTTGGAATTGGTTATAGAATGTGCATCAAGTCAACCTACAACAGAAAAGCATAATCTCAGCTCACCAAATAAACAAAAGTTAAAGAAAAAGAAACCTTAGATGAGATATTACCTGGCAATATCACCTCGTAATATGTTTAAAAGAACTGTTTCAGCAATATCATCTGCATTAAGTTCATCAATTTGAAAATGCATAACTGCTCTACCTGGCGACAGAAAACACCACAAAATGTGCAATTGTTCTTTAATCCAATAATCTTCACTATTTCGTCCATTGTCCATCCGTGCATTTCCTTGTAAGACACCACTTTTAGTGGTAGTCCATACTAAAAAAAGGAAAAAGAAAAAAAGGACACACATAAGCACACAGGACTCGTTGATTAAAAAGACAGAAAAGATTAAAAACCATTTTATTAGCTAAAATAGAAGTTCTTAGAACAACAAGAACAGAAATTAATGAGTCAGCAACAACAGTAAAGAAAAGATTGCAGGACAAAAAGAAAAATCAAAATGCTGTGCTGCAAGAAAATAAATAAATGAACCAATAGCAGAATAAGCAAAAACGACCCAACTTGTGCTGAACTAAAAAATCAGGAGACTTGCTCACCTGGACTTCATTTCTTTTGACAGTTTCAAGTGAATCATCCATATACCCTGCGATGCCTTCATCAACTGACAAGAGAAATAGATTTACACCATAATTATGCCGACGATTCAGCTCTGACAACACATAAGCAAGCACTGTGGAATCTGCAGAGAGGGGAGGAACAATATGAAATGCGAGGGGGAAACAATCGTATTCATAGCTTTTGCCTGTAATCAGTCAGATTGAGATGTGACTAAAAATGCAACAGCATAACCTAACACATCCACACACCAAAAAAACATAGCAGATAACCTCTGCTCCTGCAGTGAGAACCCACAGGTAGGTACCTCTTTCCACAGACTCTCTCTCCAAAAATCACACATCAGAAAGATGGCAACATAGCATTTAAATTTAATCTCTTATGCATGAAATGGGTGAGGAAACAAATGAAACTACACTTGCTTCTCTCTGTTTTTTATTCAATTACATCGACATCGAAACTGCAGTGTTTTTTCTGAACTAGAAACATCTGAGAGCATAAACCAAAGGAAAAAATCAACCTGACATTCTACAGAAAAAAATTAATAAAAAACACTGCATACTTGCCATCAACTCCAAGGAAAATTAATAAAAAAACACTACATACTTGCCATTAATTAGAAAAAATTAATCAACCTGACATTCACTTCCTTTGGTTTTTTCTGGAAACTTGACATACTGTCATACTTGCCATCAACTCCAAGGAGTTCATTTTCTCCCTGCTAAAGATAACCTGAATAACCCAATTTTTGTCAACTGTTGAGAGACTAAATTATAAGGAAAAAAGTTAATCTCAAAAAGAAAAAGAAAAAAAAATACAAAAGATTGCTATCAATTCATCACATTATGCACTATAACTTCAAATTAAAAAAAGCAATGTTAAACGATCTTAAAAATCCAAATTAAAATTACACGTATATAGCAAACCAAGCAATGAAGGAACACTTAATTAGGCATGTATTTATGTAAATAAAAAGCAAGAGAATAAAGAGTGAGCATAAACAGCAGATATGAGATTTGCTATCTGAATAAGAACCTCCATGATCTGCAAAATTGTGGGGGAGAAGAGTCAAAGAAAATTCAGGGTACAATATGAGATTTTACTACTGAATCTGATCTAACCATATGTTAATGTTCAATCATCATATATTTTGCTGAAATTTTAAAGAGTAAAGAATTAGATTTAGGCATGCATGCTAAAAAACAAGTGGCCAAAAAAGTTACCCAGAATGCATTGGATGCCTTGCCAAGTATGCAGTACTGATAGCTTCTCTATCATTTTCAGAGACCTGCATTGTTTATCAAAACAAAAAAATATTTGAATTTAAGTGCTCTAATTGAGTTCAAAGGGGGATAGAATGCATTGAGAATAGACTAACAGAAGCAGCAATCGAGATCAGAATGACACATCATCCAAAAATCAGAAGTCATTAACATACAGAAACAACATCACGGTGCAGGGTTATAATTAAATCAGTCCTATCCTCAGGATCTTTTGCTACAAGCAAAGAGCATTTTGGATTAGCTACAAGGTCTTGCAAAAAACAGCGAGTATCAACTAATTAAGTAACTTTCCATAAACTAGAAGATCCTAAAAAAAAATTTAAATATAAAAAATGCTGCAAGTATTTCATAGCAAAGTTTTGAAGTCCTATGCTAATAAGGAAAAAGAATACAAACAGGACACCTGTGCTAACGAAAAATTAAGTGATTACAATATTCTGAATTTCAACTTATCGAGCTTATCACTAACATATAAGAAGGCACATTCAAAAAGACTCCAAACCAAACCAAACTAAACTAAACCATGTATCTTAATCAAGTAATGGTCGGCTACATGAATCCTTTTTCGCCATTCCGCCTTATTAAGGACTATATGCTCAATAAAACAACTTAAATTAAATAAATGCATATCAAGTTTATCACTAAAATATAAGAAGGTGCATTTAAAAATAACGAATTCAAAAATTAATTTACCTCCCAAGCATCACCAGAAAAACTAATCCTAATAACCAAAGTTTAAGAATTTTCTATTCCAAAGAGCATTCAGCATTACTTTTTCTGTCTCTTAACAAACAGCTAAACAGGAATTGAGTAGGAATATAAAATTTACAATCTCCTGTAACTGTACAGCTAAACTTCGATTGTCATTCTACCTGTCCTTGTGAACGAAAGAGAGAGACAATTCACAGTCGTGCACATCAAGGGATCTCTTTCGATGCCGCCATTTAGAACAATTTTCAAGATATATATATATATATATATATTATCCAATTAGTACACATATGATAACAAAATTCAAAATTTTGCCAACCTTGGTATGAACTGCCAAGCTGCTGATTGCTAATATTAGAGATCCATAGGCATCACAAGCGAAGTCAACCATTGAAGTAGATGGATAACCCTCATACTTCTGCAAGTTAAAAAGGAATTGCGATAATCTTTGAAATTAATGAATATAGCTGACTGAAAATAATGAAAATAAGTATTTCATTTTTATTTTTATTTTGGATGAGCAAGTAATAAGTATCTCATGACAATCAAATGGTTAATCAAATTCATAATTGGCAGGTTTTCTGATGTACATGGCAAAACTGAAAAGTCAAACTCAATATTCTCTAGTAAAAAAATAAAGAAAAGTAAAAAAGACTTTGAAGGGAATTGAAACTTCAGAAAAAAACCAAAGCACTGTAAATTTATAGTTATCACAGCCAGGGCACAAGTCAGTAGACAGTGAACTTAAACTGCGTATACATTATTTGGATCCGACAACTTCGGACTCACTTTTTGTGTGTGTGTGTGTGTGTGTGCGCGCAAGAATTCATTTATGCTGTCATGGTTTATTTTTATTTTAAAAAAAACTTTGTTAGTACTTTACGCCAACATAATTTTCTCTGTGATTACTATGCATCAATTTGTCAATGCTCTATGCACAACATGACACAGCAACATTCACTCCGAATGTTTTTTGTACCTGTGGAATTCCTTTGCATGCATTGGAAAACCTCTGCAGTTGTTGCTTGTATGTTTTTTGTATCAAGACACTAAACAATACTACAATTATTTTTTTAAAACCTATATATATTATATACAATAATTATAATATATGCAAGCACTATTTTTTTTCTCTCCGTATTTTTGAATTAGATTCGAAGAAAAAATGATGATCAAATATTTTAGCTCTGTATGTAAGAGAGAATATCATGTTTTAGTCCATTAACATGAAGTCGTAGAGTGGGTAGGTACAATATACATACGTATATTACAGCTTCATCATCTTCCATTGTAGACCATTGGAGTTCTCTAGTTCACTAGACAAACTATAATTTCAGTGCAACTATCAAATTACAAGTGAGCCATATGTCTTGATAATAAATGAGCTTATAAATGTGGCACTTTGGTAGTGACCCTTTTGGGGCATTGTTTCATCACATGAGTCTGCTCTTGAGGCGAGGTTCAACTGTAGACACTTATTCCTAATTCTCACAGCTTCAAAGGGGGGGCAGTCAAAGCATGCAATACATGCCTTGACATTGAGATGTCAGGCATACACATTAATAAGAAACTTTGGCCCCTGATTACTAGCTTAGCATTTTACATTATCCTTCTTTCTTTAGCATTGTTAATTTATAATTGAGAATTTCCCAATTATAATGCAATTTCTGTTGACTACTGGCTATTTTGGTTGAAATATAATATAAAAAAGTATGCCCAGTTAGTCTCTGTTAGATGGGGGTCTGGGAGAAGTAGATTATAATATCAGAATATGATAATTGAAAGAGAATATAGCTGTTTCTGTCTTAAGGAGATTCAAACTTGAGACTCTTTGTTGGGGGGAATGCGGCCTAAACCTTAGGTTTATTAAGAATTTGTACCAATATAATTATTGGCCATATATGACGTCAAGTAGTTACTACTAGCTACTATGCACAGAACATACAATTTTGAAATCAAACTTCATAAATGAAATGCTACAGAGAAGAATAACAATCCCTATTAAACAAGTTCCTACATCTGTCAGTTTTCTTTTTCTTTTTTTCCTTTTTTTTTTTTTGTATGTGTGTTTGTGGATAAGTTCTGTTTTTTGTTTTGTTCTGCTTATTTCCTTCCAATTTCTAAATTATTTTTAGTTCCAATTTCTAAATATAACGAAAGATAGATGGAAAAAAAAAATCAAATTTAAGTCAATACCCAAATTAACCAATAGACAGACTGCTAATCACTACCGAGTTCTCCAATTAATGTTTATCATCTAAATAAACCAAAATATATTTTGATACATAGAAATTGACATAATGGTGAATGTATCCTCATATTTAGAAGCATTATAGACAAAAGAATATAGCTCCAGAAAAATAAGAGAAACCAAATTCAAGTAGATTCTCATCAGTATATTGAGTAAACAAATCTAAACAGAGTTGTTCAATACAAATCTAAACAAGATCAAAAACAGAACAAACTTGTAAACAAATATATTAGAACTTACCTCCAATGAGAAAGTTAGGGTTTCTTTTCTCACAGGATTTGATTTTTTCCGTCACTGTCGATCAACGATTGGATCATTCGAGAGCCTGAAAACAAAATAAGGATGCTTATTCAATTAATACATAGAGATACATATAAAAATTCATATATATACTTGTATAGAGAGATTTTTAGGAGAAAAAAATTATCCAAAAAAGAGTACAGATAATGTGTACGCAGAAACGAGATTGTGCGAGAGAAAACGAGATCGAGAGAGAGATTGAGAGATCGAGAGAAAGGGAGACAGAGAGAGAGAGAGAGAGAGAGAGAAGAATCGAAGAAACTGAGATTGGATTGAAATCAAAATCGTGCAGATGGTTAGTAGACGATGCAGATGCAGATAGTGGTGGTGGCGGTGGTGGCGGCGGCGGTGGCGGTGGAGCTTTGAAATCAAAATCATTCTGAGATTGGATCGACGGAATGATGAATCACCGAGTGAAGAAATTTGAATTGAGTTGAAGGAGCTGAAGGGTTTAGAGAGAGAGCGAGCGAGTGAGAGATTTGAGGGATCGCTTTCCCGGAGACACTAGGGTTTCTCAGATTCAAATACGTTGGTGAGAGATTTGAGGGTTTGAAGAGAGGGAGAAAGAGAAACACATTTGAAGGCGCTTTTCAAACGACTTGGATTACTTAAACGGTACCGTTTTAATTAAAATAAAATGTGACGTTTATAAAACCATAGAGCACACAATTTGGTTCATATTTACCTCGAGTAATCTTTATAAGTAAACCATCACTAAACACTCATAGTTTCAGAATTGACCATAACAGCTGTCACATTATTGTCTCCACAACTACTAAACAATAACTACTAAAGCAATAGAATAAAGGTACAAAACTCTAAAACTTAAAATACCAGATTTCACACTCACTAAACTACAATAAGAATAGAAATCAATCATTTAACTACATAAGCAGAATGCATCATAGAAACATATAACTAAGGCAAAAGCAAAATTTTGGATATCAAGAAACCACGATGTAAATACAACACAGTGAAACCAATCAAATCAAGGTTCAAGACTCCAAAAATCAAAGCACTAGGTTTCACACTGACTAAACTACAATAAGAATAGAAATCAATCATTTAACTACATAAGCAGAACACACTGTTGAATGATCAATTTGATTAGTAAGGCAAAATTTTACTGTCATGACTCAAGCTTTAATACAAAACAGTCAATGGAATTGGAGCTTTGATACATAACACTCATCATAAGGGCATCCATCCATCCTTGCAAGAACAGCCTCTTTACTTTCTCCAAAGTGCCTAGAATTATGTTACAGGGACACCTCAAAATGCATAATCAAACTCTGTTGAACACAACATGACACTGATACTATCTTAGTATGTTCATTTTCCTGACATATTGAGACTTTGAGATGAATGAGGTACTCATATTAAGTGCCTGTAAGCTAAGAACACAAGTTTTACCCCAAGGTATAGGAGAACAAAAGTTGGAAACTCTTGGATTTGTAGAGGAAAAAGAAAAAGGGAAGGGAAAAGTGAATGAAATAGAAGCAAAATTTTTCCACAAATTTCTTCCATTTCCTTTTCCCATCACAAATCCAAGATCCAAACACAACATTAGTGTTATGTATCCTTGTGTCCAAAGGTTTATAAATTTGATGGATCCTTCACCAAGAGACCCCATTTCTGTCGAGTTCCATTAAACATACACCTATATCAACTAGAAAGATAGGAACCATGTAAGATGCACAAAGTGTGTCATGTAACAATGGATGTATTGATTTGTAAATGAAACTGAATAAAAATCCAAGTTATTCAGAATCATCCATCTAGAAGACAAGATGAAGAAAGGAAACATACTTAATATTCTACTAATTGCTCTTTTTATTAGGCAATGGCATTGTCAAATGAGAAAAAAGAACAAACCAAACGAAATAAGTACTTATATTCTGTTCCATTTTGATTGTGATCAGAAAAATGATACAAAGAAGCAATATAGAAATTCAACATCACAAAAGTCACTAAAAAATGAAAAAATTAGTTTGATATTATTGGCGATTAATTGATATTACCTTATGAAGATCCATTGGGCCCAATGGCCTTCAATAATCATTATCTAATTACACCTAGAACAAAAAAAAAAAAAACTAAAATCAAAATTTACAAATAATTTTTTTTACAAGATTTAATACCTAATTTTTTTATTAAATAATGAAATCCCATTTTCTGATTTCCTGCATTTCTTATTCTACAAAACTAAAAGTGCCATTTTTCTTCAATCTCAATTAGCCATAAGCAATTTCCATTAGTCTATTGCTTTTGGAAAATTAGACACAGCTCAATGGTTCAGGCCATCTCAAAACCCATGAAGGTCATAAGGAGAAAATAAAAACTATTGAAACTTGAAAGTGCAAGCCAATCATGTGGTTGGATGTCTCATGCAACATGATGCGAGACTTTATTGCTAAGAATAGGTTAGATAAGGGTTCCATTTCTCATCGATACATGGACACAAACAAAAATTGAAAAACCTAAACTTTACACAGTCCCAAATATACCAACAGTCAAAAATTTACAGAGAAGTGGCCATTTAAAACCTAAATTTAAAAATCACAACTCCTCAACCCAGAAACTCTCCAGATTAAATCTTCACCCCATATACCCAACAAATCATTCACAAAATGCCAACGTAATGATAAACCCCATAGAAAAAATGAGGCACACAAGTGTCCCATTCAAAAACAACTAATCATCCCAAAGCATCAAGAAATCTCAAACTCAAACAAGTATCAGAAAATAAAAATGCTCCGAAAGATCTGAGAACCATAGCCCTAATGTGAAACCTCAAAAAACTCATATCATTCATTTCAACAAAGAATCCCAAAAATGAACATCAAAACATTAAGCAGAGAGTGCACCTTCACTTCACAAAAACACCAAAACATCTAATTAATCAAAGTCGGAATACAAACCTTCGAATTCAAAGAAAACATTGGGTGGAGAATGCAATATCAAGAGAGATTGAAACCCTTCTCCTGCGGTTTTGCTCATTCGAACCCTCTCTCTTCTCCATCTCTTCTCGGTTTTGCTCCCTTCATCTCTTCAGTCGAGAAAGTTATTGGAGATTGAATCTTTGAGATCCATAAAGGAAAAAGGAAAAAAAGGAATGTAAGCAAAGCAAAGGTTTGATGATGAAGAAGAACAAGAAGAAGATGAAGAATTAGGGATGTATAGGAATCAAAAAATTGGAGATTAATTGAAAGGAATAATAAATAATGAAGACGAGAAGGCCAGCGATGAAGCGGCTGAGATTGGAAGAGCAACGCAGCTTGTCAAACCTCATAATAAGAAAGTTGATTCGATTTCGATCTTATGCCGAATCGGTGATGTGCGATCTTCAACAATAATAATCAATCTACTCCGGAGAACAATCAATGAGCTTCGCGTCAATTGCATATATAGATCGAACCCCCTCCTCTTTCTTTCTCCTTCGTTTCGCTCTTTTCTCTCCAAAATAAACTGAGAACCAGAGATCCATTGTGTAAAGGGGTTTTTTTTTTTTTTTTTTTTTTTCATATTATGGTGTTTGGCGCTCAAAATTTTGGCGACCAAAAGACAATATTAGTCGCAGAAAAGGTACTTTCACCGACAAATTTTTTTAGTCGCCAAATCTTAATCAACGGTGACTAAAATATTAGTCGCTAAAAGTACCAATTTGGCGACTAATTTTTTGTGGTTGCTGAAAATAAGTTTTTGGCGACCAAATTTTTGGTCCCCAAAAAATATGTGACCTTCCGCGACCAAATTTGTAGTTGGTCGGTAAAAGCATACCACTTTTTGCGACCAACTCATTTTTTGGTCGCCAAAACATAACCTTCTGCGACCAATAATATTTGGTCGCCAAAAATAATGATCATTCACGACTAATTAATATTTGGTCGCCAAATGTCATTTTTTTGCTACCAAAATTTTTTTGGTCGGCAAAAGTGGTCGGCAATTATGTAAATTCTTGTAGTGATAGCTAGGAGTGTAAAAATAGCCCACAGCTCGGGGTGGGCCCGACCCTTTTAGACCCATTTGGGCCCGGGCCCAACCCAAACTCCTCGGCTTAGGCCATCATTTTGAAGCCCAGCCCAACTCATGTGCCCTGCTCGTGGCCCAGTCCATCAGCCCGCTTAAGGCCCACTCAAAACCCGGTCCAAGGCCTGGTATTTTTTTAATGAAAAATAATAAAATTTTAGCAGAAAAAATTATAAAAAAAAAAATTTGTCAAACCCGCCCAAGCCCGAAACCAAGCCCAGGACCACCGGCCCACCAAAGGTCTGAATAACCCCTAGGCCTAATTTTTAGACCAGTGGATCAGACCGACCCAAATTTTAACGGAATCCCGCAAGGCCCAACATGAGCCATGCCGGGCTAGTTACACCCCTAAAAATAGCCTAAAAACTTCATTCCCAAACGCCACCATGGTTGTGTACCAATGGCTACACCCCCTTATTTTAGGGGCTCCACTTACTACATACACCCAAGACAACATTTGTTTCATGAAAAACTAGCATATCACCCGTGTTATGCACGGATTGTGTTTATGTGAATTGTGATTTTTTGATATTTTCTTCTCTCTTTTTTTTAAATATCTTCTTTTTTTCCTTTTTTTTATATTATATTAAAATCTAATATTTTGACAATAATCATATGTGTTTTCAAGGAATTAAATATCTTTTTTTTATAATATTATATTAAAGTTTAATATTTTGATAATAATCATATGTGTTGGGCTTTTCAAGAAATTTCTTTTATGCTTGTTCTTAATGCATTAAAGTGTTATTATGAGGGATAATAATCATATGTGTTGGGACTTTTCAAGGAATTTATGTGTTGGATTTCAAAGAATTTTTTTTAGGGCATGGCTTCTATCCAGTCCTTAATCGGACTGGACCGTGTTGTTGGGCCCGTGGAGGCCCACCACAGGTCTCGTTTTGATAATCTGAACCGTCAATATGTAGAACTCATCGAGTACTATATGCCTGTAAAAAATCACGTTAATCGGATATCGATAGCTATGTAATCAAATCAGTTTTGTATAAAAAAAAAATAGACGTTGAATAAATTAACGGTTGACAAAAATCTATTTTGATCACATAACTATCGATATCCGATCAACGTGATTTTTTACAGGCATATAATACTCGACGAGTTCTACACATTGAACGATTCAGATTATCAAAACGGGACTCGTTGTGGGCCTCCACGAGCCCAACAGCACG